CTTTGCAGAACGTAAACAGTAGCTTATCTACTGAAATGATCAAACTGCTACCAACTCTGTACATAAACAGATGATCATGTATTCCTCTTTGGACTCACTCAGACATAGCTTTGATGCTATGTCAGCTTGTTCTCACCTCTTTTTTCTCTTTACTGCATCTGCCACGTGAAATAGTCTTTCCTCACTCTTTAACTTTATAATGATTTCCCCCTACGTCAAGACTGCGCAAATAATCCAAGAATCTGTCTATGAAGAAGAATGCTGCATCAGGACTGAAGGAGGGCTCATTAACGACCCGCGATACGCAGGTGATGCAACTTTGCTTGTTGAAAGTAAGAGGACATGAAGCAGGTACCAATGGAGAATAAACACTACAGCCTTCCATACGGCTTATATCGCAATATAAAGCAAAATTCTCATAACTGGACCAATAAGCAACATTACGTTAAGCAGGGAAAAGATTTAGATCATCAGGATTTCATTTTACCTGGAACCACAGTGACGCCCTTGGAAGCAGCAGTCAAGAAATAACATTATTTATTACACTGGGATAATTTGCTGCAAAAATTCTCCTTAACGTGTTAAAACGCAAAGATGTCCCCTTGAGAACTGAGATGTGCCTGACCTTTATGCCATTGACTCACGAGCATGAGAGAGGTGGACGCTAAAGAAGGAAGCCTGAAGAATCGAAGCCTTTGAATTGTGGTCTTAGTGTAAGAAGGAACAAATGACTTGGGATGCGTAGTCAGAATGCTCCTGTCTTAATTAGCATGGGGATGGCCACATGTGACCTCCTCAGGCTTCCCTATTGCCAGGAGGCAGAGGTCAGACATACCTACCCTATTCTGACACCAGATGTTCCTCCCAGGGCACTCTACTTCAACGCTGGGTTTGATAAGTTGTTGCAATGGCCACACAGCTCATGGGCAATTAAGAGTGCTTAAGCCAGTTGTCCTCAAACTATGATCCGTGAGGCACATGTGACCCGCCGAGGACATTTATCTGGCCCGCCAGGTGTTTTTGCCCCACTTGTTATTTTACTTCAAAATAAAATATGTGCAGGGTGCATAGGAATTTGTTCATAGTTTTAAAAAACAAAAAACTATAGTCCGGCCCTCCAGCGGGTCTGAGGGACAGTGAACTGGCCCCTGTTTGAAAAGTTTGAAGACCCCCTGGTTTAAACTCTGGTGGCATAGTGCTTATGCACTGAGCTGCCAACTGCAAGATCAGCAGCTTGGAATCACCACCCCCTACGAGGGAGAAAGACAAGGCTTTCTACTCCTGTAAAGAGTTAGTCTGGAAACTCACAGAGGCAGGTCTCCCTTGTCCTTCAGGGTCATTGAATAAGCATTCAATCGATAGCGAGTTTGTTTCTTTGGAACTTTCTTAGGAGAATTAATAGACTTCCACAAGTCAGGATTAGAAAACATTAAGGAGACAGCAGCACTTCCTCTCAGTCAGCAGTGAAATCTCTCTCCCGCCCTCAGCCTTGCAGTTCTGGGGTCCCTTGGCCTCTGCCTCCATGATCCAGGAAGTGAGATCATTTCTCTGCCTTACAGACTTACAATCTTGGTAATGCTTCTCTGTTCTGTTTCATGGCCTCCTTGCCATGGCCTCTGGTGCCCTTGGTCTCGACCTCTGATACTTCAGACTCATGTTTTGAACATGCTGCTTGGGTGGCGCTTCTTCCAATGGTCTTGAGATTTCTTTCTCATATTGCCAGGATGGCTCATCCTTATATTCAGGGGGGTGGCAACTAAAACAGACCAATCCCTCTATTAGTGTCACATGCGCCATATTTGCCTAATTCCACCCAATCATTTAGAAGGAGTTACAGAGATATGGGTAGAAGAGTCATATTAAAAAGTTCACTCCCTCACACATCTGCTATAATTGATATACTATATGCAAGTGGAATTAACAAATTTCTTTTTCTTTCTTTTTTTATTTTAATCGTTTTATTGGGGGCTCATACACATCTAATCACAATCCATACCTACAACCAATGTGTTAAGCACATTTGTACATTTGTTGCCACCATCATTCTCAAAACATTTGCTTTCTACTTGAGCCCTTGATATCAGCTCCTCATTTCCCCCTCCCTCCCCGCTCCCACCTCCCTCATGAACCCTTGATAATTTATCAGTTATTATTGTCATGTCTTACACTGTCCGATGCCTCCCTTCAGCCACTTTTCTGTTGTCCATTCCCCAGGGTAGAAGTTATATGTAGATCCTTGTAATTGGTTCCCCCTTTCTATCCCACCCTCCTTCCACCCTCCCTCCACCCTCCCGGTATTGCCACTCTCACAGCTGGTCCTGAAGGGATCATCCGTCCTGGATTCCTTGTGTTTCCAGTTCCTATCTGTACCAGTGTACATCCTCTGGTTAGCCAGACTTGCCAGGTAGAATTGGGATCATGATAGTTTGGGGGGTGGGGGAGAAGCATTTAGGAACTAACAAACTATGTTTCATCATTGCTACATTGCACCCTGACTGGCTCGTTTGCTCCCCAGAACCCTTCTGTAAGGGGATGTCCTGTTGCCTACAGATGGGCTTTGAAGGGTCCCCACTCCGCAATCCCCCTCATTCACAATATGATTTTTTGTTCTTTGATGCCTGATACCTTGATCCCTTCAACACCTGGTGATCACACGGGTTGGTGTGCTTCTTCCATGTGGGCTTCATTGCTTCTGAGCTAGGTGGCCACTTGTTTACCGTCAAGCCTTTAAGACCCCAAAAGCTATATCTTTTGATAGCCAGGCACCATCAGCTTTCTTCACCACATTTGCTTATACACCCATTTGTCTTCAGTGATTGTATCGGGGAGGTGAGCACACAATGATATAATATTTTGTTCTTTGATGCCTGATAACTGATCCCTTCAGCACCTCATGATCACACAGACTGGTGTGTTTCTTCCATGTGGGCTTTGTTGCTTCTCAGCTAGATGGCCGCTTGTTTACCTTCAAGCCTTTAAGACCCCAGATGCTATATCTTTTGATAGCTGGGTACCATCAGCTTTCTTCACTACATTTGCTTATTGACCTGCTTTGTCTTCAGTGATCGTGTCGGGAAGGTGAGCATCATGGAATGCCAGTTTAATAGAACAAAGTATTCTTGTATTGAGGGAGTACTTGAGTGGAGGCCCAATGTCCATCTGCTACCTTAATACTAAGCCTACAAATATATGCACATACATCTATTTTCTCATACTGATGTATAAATATATTTACATATGTACATGCCTTTATTTAGACCTCTATAAATTCCCTTTGCTTCCTAGCTCTTTCCTCTATTTCCTTTTATTATTTCTTCTATTTCCTTTTCCTTTTCTTTTGTTCCACTATCATGCTCAGCCTTCATTTGCGTTTCAGTAATTCCCTCCACCCTCCTGGTATTGCCACTCTTACCACTACTCCTGAGGGGTTCATCTGCCCTGAATTCACTTGTTCACGTGTTTCCAGTTACTATCTGTACCAGTGTACATTCTTTGGTCTAGCAAGAGTTGTAAGGTAGAATTGGGATCGTGATAGTGGGGGGAGGAAGCATTAATGAACTATTTACAGGGTTGTTGTTTTTTTTGGTCATTGTTTTTTCTTGTTGTTGTTTTGTTTTCTTTTGTTGCTTTGTTTTGCTCTGTCTTGTTTTTTTGTGCATATTATTGTCTCTTCAGGTCTATCTAGATAAGATAGGCTAGATAAACAATCTGGATGAGAAAACAATGGGACCGACGGTTCTAGGGGGACATGGAAAAGGGGGAGGTCGGGTAAAAAAAGTGGTGTTAACAAATCCAGGGATAAGGAAACAACAAGTGATCCAAAATTGGTGGCAAGGAGGGTGTAAGAGGCCTGGTAGGGATTGATCAAGGGCAGTGTACTGGAGAGGAATTACTGAAACCCAAATGAAGACTGAGCATGATAGTGAGACAAGAGGAAAGTAAAAGAAAATAGAGGAGAGAACTAGGAGGCAAAGGGCATTTACAGAGGTCTAAATACATGCATGTATATATGTAAATATATTTATATATGATGATGGGGAAATAGATATGTGTGCACATATTTATAGGTTTAATATTAAGGTAGCAAATGGACATTGGGCCTGCACTCAAGTACTCCCTTAATGCGAGAATACTTTGTTCTATTAAACTGGCATTCCATGATACTCAACTTTCTGATATGATCACTGAAGACAAAGCGGGTACGGTACATAAACAAATGTGAAGAAAGATGATGGTGTCTGGCTATCAAAAGATATAGCATCTAGGGTACTAAAGGCTTGAAGATAAACAAGCGGCCATCTAGCTCAGAAGCAACAAAGCCTACATGGAAGCACACCAGCCGGTATAATCACGAGGTATCAATGGGATCAGGTATCAGGCATCGAAGAACAAAAAATCATATCATTGTGAATGAGGTGGGGGGGAGCGTGGAGTGGGGACCTAAAGCCCATCTATAGGCAACTGGACATCCCCTTAGCTGCCTGGGACTGTCTATGTGATTTTGTCTAGAGCAGTAGATTGTAGTAAGTCGCTGGGCACTCTCGAGTTCTTCTGGTCTCCTGGTAGTGGGAGACTGGGGTTTTTGTGATCTATTAGTCCTTTGGATTAGTTTTTCACTTGTTTGTTTTTATGTACTCTTCCTTGTGTTACATCTTAGATAAATACTTACAAATGACCCCAGTAATTATTCATCAAGTCTGGATGTAGAACGGTGTCTTTGTCGGCCACACCAATGGGCCTAGATGCCCCCTGAGATTCCCAAATATTTTATATCTGAGTAAAAGATAAAGATTGAGGTAAATCTATTGTGCTTTATTATTTTATTTTTAAAAATAATTTTATTGGAGGCTTGTACAACTCTTATCACAATGTGCTTTTTTTTAAATGAGTGAAAATGCCCAGATACGGTCAATAATAAAAGCAGACATACTTATTTTAAAGCATTGTTAGAAATATGACCAAACTGAACAGAAAAGTTCATTCTTCATCTTGTCAAATTCTGATATTAAAATAATGGTAAATTTTTAATGAAATAATTTCCTAAGTATTGCTTCTCTTACAAATATTGAGGTTGGGCCACTTCAGAGCGCACTGTTTTACATTAACAATGTAAAGATTAACACACACGTATATCTACATATACATATTCTAAGATAAAGTGGAGTATCATTATTACAAATATTGGTTACCTGTCTATAAAATTTGAATTTGGACTCAGTAATGACACTGATAAGGGGGGGTGGTGGTGCAGAGAGAAACCCTGAATAAACTTTCTTTTGGGGGAGAATACTCCGTAACTGAACTCATGTAAAACAACAGTGGTCTCATTTGTTCCAGGGGATGTACATGCCTTGGGTAGTATGGAGTCTTCTAGTGTAGTCTCTGCTGGTGAGAAAACACTACAGTTACTGAACATGTAAATATATTACCCTTATAAAGAAGTTCTATTCCACTCTCTCCCTCTAAAACAGCATGCAAGGAAGCTGCAGTTTACGTTCTCCTTTGGAGAAGGAAGCATATTATTAAAGTAGCCTGAGTATTTCTTCAAGAGATGAGACTACTAACTCTATATTCTCTGTTCTACACGTATTTATGGGTGAATATTTCATTAGCAATAAGGGTATTTGAAAAGTCCTATGCTTAGATGGATTTCTCTGATAAGGACTGGAGCAAGTCCTTGTAGAGGGTTGAGTTCATAAACCGAGGATAAGAGTCTCTGTGCATGAGGGTGTAAATCTGGAGTTGGGCATCATCAAATATGTCCGGGGATGGTTCCAACATGTTTCTATTGATGACTTCTCGTACTCCGGAGTCTAAGCTGACCTGTTGATAGAAACAATACTAGCATTAGATACTTCCCTTTGCCAGTTCCCACACCCCATCGCTCTTTCTGTGTTTTAAAAATATCTCACCAGAAGAGGTGAACTGAATAGTTCACCACTTCCACTAAAGTGATTCTTACTTATAGTGGTCCTACAGAACAGAGGAGAACTGGGGTCCCCTAGGGTTCCTGAGACTGTAAGGCTTTACAAGAGCAGTCTCATCGTTCTCTCGGGGAACTGGCTTTGAATAAGTACAGTGCCCACCAGGGGCTTCAGAAAGTTCATGGAAAGATGGACTTAAAAGATGATGGAATTTTCTCATCACCGGTGTGAAGCCTCTTTGTATCGCCAGACTGAAATCTAAGGGCTACCAGGACAAAATGAGGGACCCTCAGCAGGACCCCAGTCAATCAGGTGCTCGCTCTTCTGCTTTGTACATTTTCTAGGCTCTCTTCCTCTTCAGGCTACCAGCTCCAAGAGTTTGGAAATACATCCCACTGCAGGCCTATCTATAATTGTATATTGATCTCATGCCTGTATTGTTGGCCCATAGAGTTCTGCCTCCTGGGATGTCCTCATCACATTGTGCTCTGTGAGACTGCCTTGTGTTACAGTTTTCCCCAGGTCCCTCTCTGCATCCTGACCCCAGTATACTTCTGATGACTCGCTTTTCTGTAGCACACTCACTGCCCGGTGTTCCACCACCCTCTGCATGCTTGGGAGTGAGCTCCGGGACAGGAGAGGTGCTGTCTCGTTCCCCTGCTATCCTTACAGAGGAGAAAGAGGATGAACGGATAATTTTGTAATCTGAGCTACTTGGCATTTAATTTTGAGACCAACCTAACATCCTAGATTTTAGATTTGTAGGTAAACAGTAAAGCTCTGAGAAGTTGAAACGTAACCACTTTTACCCTAAAATCACTGACATAAAGAATGATATACCAGGGAAAACCGTTGCAGCCTCGGTGTTGTATTACTGATGCTCTTAGTATTTAAAGCAAAAATACCTTTAAAAATATTTTGCTTAAGTGCCCAGCTTACCACTGGCCAACCATTCTTAACAGAGCTGCAATAGATAGGCTTGTTTCCATTACCTTCTGCTTTCTCTTGGCTTGAGGTCTTTCTGTGTTTATTTTGTTGTCACTTCTCTTTTGCTTTGTTTTTTTAAATTTTCTTTATATGAAACCCAGACTATGTAAGTCCATAGGTGTGGTAGTTACATAATTTCATGTCAACTTAATAAATAAGAATGAAGGGGTGGAGTCTAGCTTTGTCAATGGGGTCACAGTCTGATCCCTCCTAGTGGGCATGGCCTTCTCTTGAGGATTTGGGAACTCTCTCTCGGTTTCACCTTCCTGATGACAACCCACATGGAGCCACGCTGATGGCAGCCAGAGCCCTGGAGATGCTTCCACGACCACTGGATCCACAGGACTTTCTACCCACAGGCCTGTGATCTCCCTGCACTTGGCACCATTGCATGTGCTGCATGAGTCTGAAGAGGAATTTATAGACTAGTATCGGACATATGGGTTAATATCAGACCTATGGACTTGATCTGGATTGGGCTGGGATGTTTTCTGAATATACAATTACTCTTTGATATAAAACTCTCTCTTATACACATATGCGTGTTTCTGGATTTGTTTCTCTAGTCTAACCTGGCCTAACACAATAGCATTAGTAAATAGATTAATATAGTTCCTTAGAAATATGACAAGGGAGGATGGAGGATAATAACTCCAAACCAATCTCATTGCTAGCCAGTTGATGCTGACTGATAGCAAATCTATAGGGTAGGGTAGAACTGCCCCTGTGAGTTTCCGGGACTGTAATTGTTTATGGGAGTAGAAAGCTCTCTTTTTCCTGAAGAACAACTGGTGGTTTTGAACTGCTCACCTTTTGCAATGCAGCCCAAGGTAAGCACTATACCCCCAGGAGTCCTGGGGAGCTAATAATAGTAAAAATGGGTACATGAATGAAAACAAATGTTATAAGATTGATTGTGGTGATTATGGCACAACTCCTTCCAATATGTTTAAACCACTGAATTATATGGTACATGAATTATATATCAAACTTGTTAACAATGGTTAAGGCGCATTTGGAGACTTCTGTGGGACTGTGGTCAAAATCCCTTACTATCCATGGTAGATAAAGTAACTCTCAGTATGTACAGTGGACTCTCTATGCCATGGAGGTGATGCCGACGCATAGCCACTCTGTGAGTTTCTGAGACTGTAACTGTTTACAGGAGTAGAAAGCCCCATCTTCTTCTCACAGAGTGGCTGGTGGCTTCGAACTGCTGACTTTGTGGAGCCCAGCCCAACTCGTACCCACTATGCAATCAGGACTCCTCTGTCCCTTTAGAAGCAGCTGTATTATGCACAACTAGGCACTTAAGGGATTAATGTTACCAACTGACCCCTTTGGGGAGAATCTTGGATTGCTCACACACCTCTTTCGGAGAAAGAATGGAAATGTAGTCTTCATATATTATTCTTGCTTTCTCTTCAATCATGTTTTTATTAGCTTCTGTTTTCAGTTCCTCACAAGCCATCCAGAAAAGCATATTTTCTTCACTGAATTCTGTCCGGAGGAATTCGCGGAAAGTGTCCCTTCCTGCTGGAGTGATCATTAGCTTGTCGAAAGACTGAGCCCAGGCACTGACTTCTTCCAGAGTGGGGGTTGCGCTTAATAGACGAACAGAAAAAAAGGGGAGGGGAACCATGTTATTGAAAATTAATTTGACTTTCCAGGGAGTGATGTAGCAACGATGAAAAATACAACTTTCCTCTAGTTCCTAAATGCTTCCTCCCCGCCCCCACTACCATGA